CTGAAAACTGAGCATAATAGCCTAAGCTTTTTTAAAAATCCCAAAATTAGTAAAATTTCAAATCAGTAAATTTACAAAATGAAGTAATAACTATGCAAGTTCAGAACAGTCTGTTTCAATGTGACTTTTGAGTTTTCATTTTCCCACTCCATGAGTATATGATTGACATAAAACAAATTTTATCTTATTTTACATTTATTAATATGTAATATTATTATACATACCTTGAAATCCTCTTAATTTATACAATCCACTTATACACAGATTTATAAGTAGGACTCTGAAAAACTAAGGTGACAATACCCACATTTGTAACATTTTTGCGTTAGCCTTTGAGTATCTAGGAATAGCAGTTTTATATCCCCAAATCAAATCATACCAAGTTTTAAATACAGTGTAATTTCATTTCTTACAATGCCATAAGACATTATTTTTGTCCTAAAGGTAATGATAGTGAGGCATAGTCAGAGATTCATCCAGGCATGTGACAAATGCTTCTTTCAATAATTTCACCACACTTACCGTACTTTACTATTTAGTGAGGTTTTTTTTTTTTCCCCTGCCAATCCTAGATCCGCTGAACCACCACAGTAAGGCCTAATAGTCTGTCCAGAAAGTATCCAGCCATGTACTATGAAAATGTTGATGTTTATTGAAGATACAAGAAACATTATACATATGACAATGATGCCTCAGTTCCCTTCAAAGTAGGCACCTTGGGGCCTTACACAGTTCTCCCAATCACCATCAGCTGCCCTGTCATATTTTTCTGGATCTCATCCATGGTCTGAAATCTCTCCTTTCAAAGGTGATTTTAATTTTGGGAAAGGTCAGAAGTCACAGGGTTCCAAATCTGGACTGTTAAGGAAGATGAGTCACCTGGGTGATTTTATGTTTCGCCAAAAAAATCTGCATAACGTGATGCATGAGCAGGTATGTGGTCATGATGAAGCTGCCTAACACTTACTTGTCCATAGGCGCAGGCTTCTGAATCATCCAAATAATTTCTGCAGAGGAATGTTCAAGCTTAATGCAAAATCTGATGCAGGTTTCTTGCTCTACTTGCTCATTTTGAATGCCACAGTACACATGCTCACTCATAGGCATCTACTGCCCCCACTGACTAGTATGGTAAAGTTGTCATTGTTCACACATACACATTCTAGGCTACTCTCCTTGGCTGCTGAGTTACAATGATGTCACACAAACTGTTCCCGTTATATTAACAACGGTTGGACTTTTTCCAGACAGACCTAGTATTGAAAGTATCTCAGGTAATTATAACAAAAGTGGTCCACAGTGGAGCTTTGGGAATGGCCTTCGATCACCTAAGTACTTTTTTCAACTAGGCTTCTTCTAATAGATACTTGTTTAAGAGCAGATATTTTGAGAGTATACTCCCTGCCATTAGGCTATTTTATAAAAGGAGTACAAAGCCCCAAATTAGATACCTGTTACAAGTGACCTCTTAAGAGTAAGGTACCTAACCCTGTTAACCCTCAATGTTCCCATGTGTAAAATGGTCACTGGTGTAAGCACTCAACATCTTTCTTACCTGGCACATGGAATGCACTCAATAAACACTACTTACCAATTTTGAAGGTGAAGGCCCAGAATATACTATATTGCCAGTTAAGGATTGATTTATAACTTTACACAAGTAGTTTCACATGCCGTTATGAAAAGACTGTATATTTCTTGTCCACATAGGGAATCTTTTGTTACATATCTGAGAAAAATATTGATATAGCCTATAATTGCAATAAATACTACTTAGCACTTTTTATCGTACTTAAGTCTCACATATAAAAATTTCAAATTTTATAAAGATGTTAAACAGGACATTTAAGTAAAGCAAATATTAATAAGTTTATTTTTAATATCTTACTCTTCTGCCATCAAGATTTGTAACATTTAAACTCAACTATCAGCATGTAAGGTCATTTAACTTATCAAAGTGCTTTAACTGTGTGTTAAACTATTATTTTTAGATAACATTTTTTCAGTTAAAAAAGAAACAAATTGTCCTTTCTGCAGTCAATTGCCTTTTACAAAAATTTTAGTGAAAATATGTTGCCAAAAAAAATTTGATTCATTACAAGCTGGGTTTAGATAGTACCTGAGAACAAAGCACAGAGGTAATTATAGGTTAAAATAGTTTCTGAGTCTCTTGATAAGAAACTGATTCCAGAGTAAAAGTCTAAGGAATATAAAAAACTTGACACTGTGTATTAATCATGATACCACTTATAGTTATGGTTCCCTTCCAGTGCTCTTGCAAAGATACCCAACCTGAATTGGTTATAAGCTAAAAAACCTACTATGTGTACTCAGGAATAAAGAACTGCATATACCATTTGGTACATTTTTCATTAATTTCCTCTATCAACCGTTAAGACAAACAATTCATACTTTGGGAATGACTTTCCTGACATCAGGAAAATTCAACTTTGTAAGGCATGTTAGATTTCAAAAGGATCCATCATATTAGAAATGCATTACTGTGACAGAGGGACCTAATTTGTTTACTGGTTTATGTATAATTTATGACTTTGGACTTTATTTGTACTGTTAGAATACATTTCACTTAGCCATCAAGTTCTCATCTTTATTTCTGAAATTATTTACCAGCTTAAAACACCATTATTTATTAATAGTCCCTAACTGAACTTGCCTGTTTTGCTCACTTTATATCACTAATTACAACATCATATACTACAACAGCTACTTATGAATAGCCAATACCAGCTAACCTTCCTCTAGTCCTCCCAGAGACAGCCCTGAACATCAGAAAACCCAAATTATTCTGGGTGATGTAACTTGATGACCAATAAAGAAAAGTTCATTTGACTCCTTAACCAGTCTTTGTTTCTGTGAAAGTGATTTTCTTCTAGATGTCTTATTTATGGATCAAAGAACGAGTCTCTAATAAAACTTTAAATGTTAAAAATTACAAGTAACTCCATCTCTAAATTAAAGGAATCCATTCTAGAAGCCCTTCTCAGAATTTATATTCTTGAGCTTGTATTGTTTAAACCAAGGGTCAGCCAACTATGGTCTGTGGGCAGAATCCAGCCTGCCAGTTTCTGGTAATTGGAAATGAAGGTTCATTAGAACACAGCCACGCCTATTCATTTATGTAGTGTTTGTGGCTGTTTTCATGCTACAACGCAGTGAGTAGCTGCAACAGGGATCATACGGCCCTCAGAGCTTAAAATATTTACAAACTGCATCTTTACAAAAAAAGTTTGCCAACACCTATTTTAAACACTTCCACTGAAAAGAAAAAAAAACACTATTAAAAATAATTTTGAATTACAAGAACGTAAATATTTTCTCACTTTCTTCTCATCACTTTGGCCTACGCAAGTTGATGAGAATTTACGTGAAACAGCCTGGATATCTAAACACTACTTATAACATTATTCCTATGGATTCTTTAAAAAGTAAAATCAACCAATTGTACAAAAGAGTTTAGAAAAAATCCTATTTGTAGATGAGGGACATTATCTACTGACTTGACTTACTCAAACAATCAACCAAAGAATAGAGCTGAAATGTTCTAAGAGACCATGTTTATTTCTTTTGAAATCAGGTTTATGGAACAGTTGCTGACAATAACAGTAAGCACTAGTTCAATACAAACAAAGGTTTCTTTACTCGTATTTATAAACAATTTTTAAAATTCCTTTAATATTAGTAATTTCACAATTCTTAAAATTTAGGGTTAAGATGGCTTTTAACACTATTACGAAATCAATTTTTTCAGGTAACATACCACTTTGTTATAGCATTTTTCCTTTTCTCAATCAAACACATTTGACCTACAACCCCCAAGGAAGTGTGATAGATGTGAATGGTTCAGAAAATTGTGGAAGGTTAAGACCGTGGGAGCGACTACTTCGTGAGTCCCCCCGGTGCCACGGACACACGTGAATGAATATGAATATGGCCTAGACAAGATGAGATCTGTTTAGGGGAGGAAAAGGGGCTGTGGCCAGTTTCTCAGGGGAGACAAAGGCCAGCAGCGGCCAGTTTCTCCAAGGAGAAAAAGGCCCCGAGCACCCTCTTCCATGGCCTTTTATTGGGCTGTAATACACAGGAATACAGGGCGGCAAGGATCAAATAGTAGATAACATTTCAAAGAGATCTGAGGACTTTAGAGTCTGAGTCAGTGTCTGTCAGGAAGAAAGTTGCAGAAACTTTGGGAGACATACTCACTTCCTCTCGGACCCTTATCTTATGAATGGAAGCACTCTTAGCAGAGCAGATTTCCCAGGTTTATCAGGAAGTCTTTGTGATACCAGATTTTTTCCCCAGGACACACTCTAGCAAGGCAAGGAGCTGCACCTCTCCCCAACAGGTATTCAGTCTTAAGGGGATTAGAGCCAGGAAGCACTTCTCCCAGAGGACATGGGGACTCAGGCTTTGTCAAAACAGGAGGGGGGGGAGTCCATTGCTTTGTTGCAGCCCCCCCCCCCCCCAGTCCTTCCATGAAGGCTTCCCAGGTGATTGAGTCTGGCTTAGGTTGCCCCCCCCCCCCCCGCTGTGAGGGGCCTTACCAGTCATTGACTTTCATTGACTTCTGACCAAGCTTTGGGGGCAGGGAGAGGAACTGAGGCAGCGTTTGCTACCAGAGACAAGCTTTGTCTCCTGCCGCTGACATTCCAAAGGTTGTCCCTCGCCCTCAGCCACAAGGGGTAGAGATACAATTCCTAAAACAAGACAGAGCGGTCTACAACATAAGACCTTCTTCTTTCTTAAAAATCACAGAAACAAAAACATGTACCCTGCACTACATATAGTATTTGCATGCTTGTTTTCTATAGCACACACATTTCTCTTTTCAACTAGTTTTCCATAAATATTAAAATATCAGAAATTTTTTTTTTCCTACAAGTTCTCAAAATAATCATTAGATTTTCACAATATTTACTAGAAAAATAAAGTCAAGCTACCAAACCTATGATTTAGGACCAAAAAAAGTTTACTCAAGAAAATGTAAAAATATTTTCATTTATTTATCTTATTACATTGAATCAACATGGAGTCAAAACTGCACAATTACACATTTACAATAATTCCACACCATCCTCAGAATAATCGGCTTCTGTACAAAGATTCACAGATGTCCAATGTATGTAATTCTTCCTCAGTGTGCTACAGAGTTCAGAGGTTCTGCCCGAATATTCCCCAAATCAAGTGCAGAATCTGTTTCTTCATCAATTTCTCCAATGACTGCACTGCAATTAGTTGAAGAGGAAACAAAATAAGACTATCTAATTTCCGAATAAAACTGAGATGGCAAAGTAAACAGAACTATGTAATGTGAAAATCAAACTTTTCATAGTGCTAAGTGACAAAATTCATGAAATTATTTGAAGGCAACATTATGACAGAAACCAATATTAAATGACTTATTTCATATAGTGTGACTGGATCATAAATCCTTAAAAGGAAAAGACAAAAATGGGTCAGATTGAGTATAAACCCTCCAAATTTCCAATCCTACAATTTCAACTCCAGGGACTGTATCGGGTAAGTATAGGGAGAGAGGAGAGAATCATAAAAATCACTACTACATAAGGAAATAAAAACACATGTTATTTAAGTAACATCAATAAACTAAATCCATCAATGGTATAGTATCTATTAGTGATTCTCACGATTTCTGTTTATTTAAATTCAAGAACAAAAAGTTTACAAAAATAGCAGCAACAAGTACTTAGGTATATAACAAATGATTTTTTGATGTGATTGAATAGAGTTAAAGCTAGTAAATTTTCCCTTCATTTAACACAAACATAACATTAATTTCATTAATACCATGCTAGGTAACAAAGGCAGGGCCTTTCCAGCTGGAAATAGTCATTGTTACATCCAAACCACAAGGCATGTATGAAATATTATTCCACTAAAATCACCTGTTTAAATTTCTTTTGTTTTAATAACAGTAAATTCTATAAATGAATACTTTTAATAAAGAATTTGCCCAATTTTACTTTAAACTACATAAGGCCTTCAGTTCTCTAATGATGAAAAGTACCAAACTCTGGAAAAATATAGTTTTCTCAATATAAAACAAAGTTCTTTTTACTTTGTCCTCTCAGTTTCATTTACAGATTGGTTTGCAGCATTTACTGACATCCATAGTACAAATACTCCCACTATAGTCAATTTCAAGCTACCAACAAAACATTAATCAACCAGTATTTGCAAAACTGAAAATACAACAATTTCCATGAGCCAATACAAGCTGGCTTCAGCACTCCACGGGATCTACAGAAAATATTTAATTAAAAAAAAAATACAGTTCCGCCTTGGCTGGTGTAGCTCAATGGATTGAGCCCGGGCCTGCAAAGAAAATGGCTGCCAGTTCAATTCCCAGTCAGGACACATGCCTGGGTTGCAGGCCAGGTCCCGATAGAAAGTGCGCAAGAGGCAACCACAATTTGATGTTTCTCTCCCTCTATTCTTCCCTTCCCCTTCCTCTATAAACAAACAAACAAACAAACAAATGCTTTAAAAAGTTACAGTTCAAAACTACGTATTTTTTTAATGTAGGAGAAATTCTTAAAATCAATCATCATGCAGAGCCCCAGTATAAAGAATTAGTATCCTGAACAATAATTAAATTTTTAAAAAAAAGAAAAATTAAAAAAACAACAAAAAAAAATCAGTATGCTCTTGTCAGGGGACCTGAGCCCCACTGTTTTTCCTTCTTCTTGTTCTTATTGCTCACTTTATAACCACACGCAAAAGTCATTTCTATAGAATATTTTATAAACCCCTAATATTTATTAAAGATCAAATAATTTAAAGGTAGACAATTTGAATGAACAGTATTCTTTCATCTGTATTCTACCTATCTCCTAGAATAACCTGAGATGCTAATGTATCTTTTGCTGCCTGTCAGCCATGTTTTAAATCTATAGTACTCAACAGAAAATGGATTCAACAATTTTCTACCCGCTATAACTGCAACGTCTACAACAGTAGCTAACAGCCACATGTGTCTATTAAATTATAATCAAACAAAATTTAAAACTCATTTCTTTAGTCACATCAACCATTTTCCAAGTACCCACTAGCCATACACGACTAGTACTAACCTTAGTGGATAATGCAAATATATACCATTTCCACCATCCCAAATAGTTCCACTGAACAGTTTTGCCCTAAACTGTTAGACTTTTCTTAAATTGCCACCATTAAAATATACATTCTCAAACTGCCCTATCAGCATGCCACAAAATAACTGAGGCCACAGCATAAAAAAGGGTGCCAATTATACTAAAAAAAAAAAGAGAAAAAATAAGTAATGATATAGTATTTGTTTTTAAATTCAGCTATATTATAGAGCATGACTCATTTAAAATTATTCATGCAAGAGATTTCAAAGACATTTTCAAACCCTGGCTTTGGTACCTTAGGAGTATATTTATATTCCTATGAAATTAAGGGTATGTTGGAAGAACATTCTATGAAGCCTCTCTAATGAAGTATTTGATACAAGGCAGGGGGCTTTTTGGGCCCTATCCAGGCCACTTAACTATTTACAAATCTCAGTAGATAAAAAGTTTTTCTCCATATAGCAGGGCAATACACCTACAGTATATTTAATCTGCCTTTAAAAAGACACAATTTACTTACACATTGTCACCTCTTACGATGTATAAGCCTAATACCACTTGTTCTACTCCCTGTGAAGAGCTGAACACTCGTTCATGGCTTTCATCCAAAATCAAATTGATGGTCTGGTCAAAACCTTTCAATGTTCCCTGTAAAAAAGAAAAGTTCACAAGAAAAAGGCAAATACCCTAGTTTACTTGAATGCATACATTTAATCACACAACAATTTTAGATGCTGGGTCCTCCAACAGAATACATGATTTAAGTCCACTGTAAAACACAATACCTCTTTATAATTCACAGTATTCTGACATAACACTTACCTCTTAGTTTCTTAAGGAGTAAAAAATATACACTACACATTTGATTAGCATGCAGAGTTGCTGAGAATTACAAAGGACATCTAGGTACCAATATATTTCCAAGAAAGTAACATAAAAGCCCAGGCAGTCCAGTCTAAAACTAACTTTCTAAAGACACAAAGTACAGTAAGTAAAATTTAAGGGAAACTACAGGGCTGGATAAAAGTAGGTTTATACAGTTGTTCACACAGAAAAATATATACTACAAGAATAGATAATAATAGAACAATAAACTCTGTTTTGTGTACTCACAACTTTAAACCTACTTTTGCTCACCCCTATATGTGTTTACATACTAGTACTAGGCCCTGTGCTAAACATGCTTTCCCACGATATCTCAACTAATCTTTTTTCTTAAATTCTCACTTGAGGATATATCCACTAATTCCAGACAGAGGACGGAAGATAGACAGACAGACAGACAGACAGATAAATAGATTAATTACGAAAGAAAAGAAAAAGGAAGGAAAGAACTCGGAGAGACAGAGGGAGAGAGGGAGGGGGAGACAGAAGGAGATGGAGAGGAGATGGAAAGAGATGAGGGGGCAGAGGGTGGGGGGAGGGAAGGGAGGAGAGAGAGAAAGAGAGAGGTAAATATCAATGTGAAAGAGACATCAACTGCTTGCCTCTCAAACATGCCCAGATAGAAGACCCAACCCGCAATCCAGGCATGTGCCCTGACTGGAAATCAAACCTGAGACCTTTGGATTTACGGGATGACACTTCAACCAACTGAGGCACACCAGCCGGGGCTAACTAATCTTTACCCTTTGAAGTACTGTAGATATAATTATTCCCACTTCAGAGAAGAAAAATTGAAGCACACAGGGAGGTTAAATAAGGTCTCAAAGTTTTATAGGTAGAAAGCAGCAGAGCTAGGACCCGAACAATGAAAGGATAGCTTCAAAGCCAAACCACTGAACTATTATACTACTAACACTGTGAAGAAGCAAATATAATTATCTTTTTAAAGAGATTGAAGTAAGTCCCATAAACATGTACAAGTTTCAACTGGTATTAACAGCTAATAGTGAGTACTTACTATTTGCCAGAAAGTGTTCTATGGGCCTCATGTATATTTACTTATTTACTTTCCTAAAATGCAATAAGGTAGATACAAACATGACTGCAATAATTAAAAATATTTAAACAGCCCTAGCTGGTGTGGCTCAGTGGACTGACTATCCACCTATGAAGCAAAGGGTAATAGGTTTGATTCCCAGTCAGGGCACATGTCTGGGTTGTGGGCCAGGCCCCCAATTAGGGGGCACCCGAGAAGCAACCACACACTAATGGTTCTCTTCTTCTCTCTTTCCCTTCCCCTCTGTCTAAAAATAAATCAGTAAAATCCTTTTTAAAAAATAAAAAATATATTGAAAAACAAAGTGTTATTTTTCCAATTCATTATCTACCCTGTTAACAAAAATTTAAAAGTTTAAACTTGATGTTTTTGCAATAGAAATAACTATTTGCAAATATCTGTTTATAGCAGTAGGCTACTCAAAGTGTTAAACTGAGACTTAAATATTTCACACTGTCCTTGACAAAACATAAGGTAAGGTCCATAAAAGAAAACATAATTGTTCTCTTGATTAAGGAGGCAAGGCAACTGGCTTAGCTTTAGAGACAAATCCAATTTCAATCCCAGTTTGTTTCTGCCACTTACTACATGTGACTCTGGGAAAGGAACTTCCTTCTTCTGATCTTGGTTCCTAATCTAGAATAAAGGAATAATTCTTCTTTACAGAGTTATACTGATGATTAAAAGGTATAATGCATGTAAAGTGCCTGGTACATAAGATAATTTAATGATAAAGCCTAACACTTTGGGTAATAGTCACTTAAGGACCCACTGAGAAAAACCACAAGAATTAAACAGAAAACAAGAAAACAAAAACAGAACTGCAGAATAATTAAATAAAAGATTAAGTTATATGAATTAGACAGTTAGAAAAGAGGAAGTTTAGCAGCCTTAAAACGTTTTCATAACAACAGCTGCATGAATTATAAGTGAATAAATAATTAAGTAGCCAAAAACAATGGGATAAATTCCTCAGATCAAGGAATAACAAAAGAATCAAAGATTTATTTGGAGTTAAAGGGGATACTATGATAAATGGACTAATGAAATGAAATAAATTTAGGATCAATCATAATTTGTCCTATACAAGACAGAGGTCACAAAACCTAAGAATAGTCAAAGAATATTACTACCATACAAGACTTAACTGTTTATTATTCTATGTATGTAGTATATAAATTACACAAAACATTTCAGAGGCATATACAAAACTTTAAAAATAATTATAACAGGAGAAGAGGGAAGATGGTGGTGAAGTAGGACAAAGGATTTTGCTTCCCCCCACGTACCGGAGAAAAACAGGGCAGATCTGCAGAGGAGCGCAGCGGATAGCCAACAGGGACCCAGCATATAGGAAGGTAGGACTCCAGAAATTGTAGCAGACACTAAATGACCAGACAGTGAGGAGAGGAGATGACTGCAGGTCAACAAGCTCCGAGGGAACAGCGCAGAGGCTGCAGGCCCTCCGCCAGGCTGTGCCAGGGCCCGGGCCGGCCCGCCTTGGTCCTGGGAGTGGAGGGCTGGCAGCAAGGACCTTGGGAAAGAGCCAGTCATCAGCTCCCTCCCTACCCGGCTGGGCGCAGATTGAAAAATGCCAGGAGAGATCAGTTTGCTTGGAGGGTCAGAGAGAGGAGTGAGCATGAAGAAGCAAACCAGAGAGTTTTAAGCACCTGTGGAATCAGTCTGTGGTCACTGGCTTGGGAGAACTGAGAGTTGCCTGTGCGTTCCACCATGGCACTGGGAAAGGTTCGTGCCCAAGCCTGTGAGACCAGGGAAGCCTGGCCAGGAGCCTATGCCCACAACCCAGGACAGGACTGTGAATCCTGGGGAAAATTTGCTCAGTGGGGTGCTGGGGAGAGGCGCCACTCTATAACTCTATTCTCTCTCACACTACACCTATTTACCATCCTTTATTCTCACCTTACCTCACAATCTGACCTCCCTCAACCACACTCCTTTCTAGATCCAAATCACAAACCTTCCCTCCCCAACATGAGCCTTATCGTCCTTCCATCCTTTCTAAAAAGTGGCTAGTTGGGTTGAAGATCACGATTATCATTATACATAGTCGGGGGATCTCCTATCTCTTCTCTACCGGCTGCTACTGTAAATATCACAGATTACTCTCCTGCTGTCATAAAACAGTTTGACTTCCCCTCCAATTGATCACAAAAACAAGCAAACATAAAAGAGAAGGTGGAAGCAGTGAACAACAGGATACCCAAAGGAAGAGGAAACCCAACAACAAAGGAACCACCAACCGATAACAACAGAAGAAGGTAAAGGAGGGAGTAGAAACCACCCAAACCTCAACCCAAGACCTATCTGGAAATACAACTAAACAGAGGAGAAACTCCCCAGGGCAAACAACTGAACAAGAGCAAAACAGAATTCTCAAAACCCTGTACATGCAGAAGAACTAGCTGCAATGCAACCCGCCCTCACCAGCACAACAAATTAAAAGGGTAGCGGACAGAGGGACCATCAGTTAACCAGCTGGTGGGAAGGACCCACAAAAGAAAGACCCAGAAACAACAAAAACCCAAAGACAAACTCAGAGCCAACATAGAGGACTGCCCAAGACCAGGGATTTGGGGAGATCAAGGAGACTACACCACTGAATCTCACAGGTATTATACCACAGAAGTGCACAGCATAAATCCAGGAAGCCAGAACAAATCAATTTAAGAAGCTGAAGCTAACAAGAAGAGTCTCACAAACAATAGGAAGACAAAGAAACAGCCTCCAATGAAAGGAAAGAAGGAAGCTTCAGAAATAATGCTAGATGAAATAGAGGCAAGTCAGCTATCAGATATTGAATTCAAAGCACTGGTTATCACGAAGATCAAAGAGCTCACAATGAGCCACCAGAAACTACAGGGGAGCTACAATGAACTCACTGCAAACTGTATCAACATGAAAAAGGAAATAGAAACTATCAGCAAAGGCCAAGAGAAAATGAAGAATACAATTTCAGAGCTGAAGAACACAGTGGAAGGAATCAAAAGCAGGATCAATGAAGGAGAAGATCAGATCAGCAAGTTGGAGGACAAAGGAGAAAGAAATGCCCAGAAAGAGCAAGAAAAGGAAGAGGCTCAGAAACAATGAAGAGGGATTACGAGATGCAAGACAATATGAAACATAATAATATCCAAATAATAGGGATACAGAATGAGAAGAAGAGCAAAGGATAGAAAATCTATTTGGAAACATAATGATGGAAAATTTTCCTAATTTGACGAGAGAAAAAGTCACACAAATTCAGGAATCACAGAGAGTCCCAATCAAGAGAAACCCAAAGAAGCCCATTTCAAGACACATAGTTAAAATGGCAAAATTTCAAGACAAAGAGAAAATCTTAAAGGCAGCATGGGAGAAAAAGAAAGTAACATACAAGGGAGCCTCAATAAGGTTAGCTGCTGACTTCTCAATGTAAGCACTCCACGCAAGAAAAGAATGTAAACACTCCAAGCAAGAAAAGAATGTAAGGTTAGCTGCCGAATTCTCAATGTAAACACTCCAAGCAAGAAATATTCCAAGTAATGAGAACCAGAGGCCTTCAACCAAGATTACTTTATCCAGCAAGGCTCTCAATCAAGATAGAAGGCCAAATAAAAGCTTCCAAGACAAAAGAAGTCTAAAAAGAATATACCTCCCCCAAACCAGCTCTGCGAGAAATGCTAAAAGGTCTGCATTAAGGAAAGAAAGGAAAAGAAAGAGACAATGAATATTGTCTCTCAATGAATATTGACAATGAATGAGTAACTATCAATAATAAGCTTAAACATAAATGGATTGAATGCTCCAACTGAGAGACACAGGATAGCTGAATGGATAAGAAAGCATGACCCACACATTTGCTGCCTACAAGAGACCCACTTCAGGACAAGAGACCCACACAGACTAAAAGTGAGGGGCTAGAAACAAATTTTCCAAGCAAACAGATAGGGAAAAAAAGCCAAGCTATCAATAATCATTATCAGACAAAACAGACTTCAAAAAAGGGCCATAAAAAGAGACCCAGAAGGTCACTTCATAATACTTGAGGAAAGAATCCACCAAGAAGACATAAACATTGTAAATATATATGCAGCCAACATAGGAGCACCCAAATATATCAAGAAAATCTTAGAGGACTTCAAGAAAGATATTGACAGCAACACAATTATAGTAGGGGATTTTAACACCCCACTGTCAAAAATGGACAGATCTTCCAAACAAAATTTCAACAAAGATAATGTGGGATTGAACAATGTCCTAGAGGAAATGGACTTAACTGATAGATATATATATATAGAACCCTTCATCCCAAAGAAGCTAAATACACATTCTTTTCAAATGCACATTGAACATTTTCAAACACAGACCACATAGCAGGTCACAAAACAAGCTTCAAAACATTTAAGAAAACTGAAATCATCCCGAGCATTTTCTCTGATTACAAGGGACTGAAACTGGAAACCAACTCCAAGAGAAAAGACCCAAAACATACAAAATTATGGAGATTGAATAACATGCTATTAAACAACGAATGGGTCACAAATGAAATTAGGGAAGAAATCAAAACGTTTCTGGAAACAAATGAAAATGGTCTCACAACAAGCCAAAACTTATGGGACACAGCAAAGGCAGTTCTGAGAGGGAGGTTCATAGCAATACAGGTCTACCTAAAAAAGATAGAAACATTTCAAACCTACAAGAACTTGAGGAACAACAACAAAGACAGCCCAGAGCAAGTAGAAGGAAGGAAATAACCAAGATCAGAGCAGAATTAAATGACATAGGGACTAAAAGCACAATCCTAAGGATCAATGAATCCAGGAGTTGGTTCTTTGAAAAGATAAACAAAATGAACAAGCCTTTAAGTAGGCTCATCAAGAAAAGAAGAGAGAGAACCCAAATAAACACAATCAGAAATGAAAGGAGAGATTACAACTGACCCCACGAAAATACAAAGGAATGTAAGAAATTATTATGAAGAACTGTATGCCAAGAAATTTGAAAACTTAGGTGAAATGAACAAATTTCTAGAAAAATATAATCTTCCAAAATTCAACACAGAAGAAGCAGAAAACCTGAATAGACCAATAACAGCAAATGAAATTGAAGCAGTAATCAAAAATCTCCCCAGAGCACAAAAGCCCTGCACCAGATGGTTTCACAGGAGAATTCTACAAAGCATTTAAGGAAGAGCTAACTCCTATTCTCCACAGGATATTCCAAAATATCCAAAATGACTGAAGACTCCCAAACTCTTCTTATGAAGCCAGCATCATCCTAATCCGCAAGCCAGATAGACATACAAGAAAGAAAGAAAACTTCAGGCCAATATCGCTGATAAACATAGATGCTAAAATCCTCAACAAAATAATGGCAAACTGCATCCAACAATACATTAAAAAGATCATTCATGACCAAGTGGGATTCATCCCAAGGATGCAAAGATGGTACAATATTTGCAAATCAGTAAATGTAATACATCACATAAACAAAAGCAAAGACAAAAATCACATGATCATATCAATAGAAGTGGAAAAGGGTTTTGATAAGGTACAACACCCATTTATGATAAAAACACTCAGCAAAGTGGGAATAGAGGGAGCATTCCTCAATATAATAAAGGCCATAAATGAGAGACCCACAGCCAACATCATACTCAATGGGCAAAAACTAAGCTTTTTCACTAAGATCAGGAACAAGACAAGGATGTCCACTTTCACCACTTTTATTCGATATAGTATTGGGAGTTTTAGCCACAGAGATCAGACAAGAAATAGAAATAAAAGGCAACCAAATTGGAAAGGAGGAAACAAAACTATCTCTGTGTGCAGATGACATGATGATGTACATGGAAAATCCTATAGACTCTATGGAAAAACTGCTCAACCTAGTAAATAAATCGGGCAAAACAGCAGCTTACAAAGTCAATATCCAGGACTTCCGCCAAGATGGAGGCATAGGTGGATATGCCGTGCCTTCTCACACAAAGAAGTTTAGAGACAACTAAATATTACCAACAGAAAACACAGCCAGAACACAGAAAAGTGAACTTTTCGGAAGTCTGTTAACAACAAATTCTTCAGTCTGACCGGTAAGGGGCGAAACCAGCAGCTGGTGGAGCGGGGTTGCACAGGAAAACTGGGTCGACGGACTCAGGCATGCGGAATCCAGGCGCAGGGTTGGACCTAGTGAGCGACCTACTGAGCTATGAAGTGAGCGACCAAGTGAGCCACCGCGGGGAAACAGTGAGGTAGCAGGGCTGCGGGTTGACCTTGGTCGCGCATTTGTGCGCGGATAGACAAGCGAGGGAGTGGGCGATTGGACCGGAACCCAGCGGGTCCCCACAGCAAGCAACGGGGAGGGCGCCGCCATTTCCCTGCTCTGACCCCAACTCCACATACAGCGTCATAACCCAGCAACTCTGAGTGGCCTGGCCCTGGTGAACCCCCGAAGGCTCTGCTCCTCACCCAGCAGCACAAAACAGCAGAGGGGGTCCCCATTTCCCCGCTCTGACCACGCCCCCACATACAGAGTCACTACCCAGCGACCTGGGAGTCCAAGGCTCTGCTCCTCACACTTAAAGGGCGTGAACAGACCAAAAATGGCTCAAGAAGATCTCAAAGCCCCAGAACCTATAAATCTAAGCAATGAAGAAATAGCAAAACTCTCAGATGCACAGTTTAAAACACTGGTGATCAGGATCCTCACAGAACTGGTTGATTATAGCCACAAATTAGACAAATATATGAAGGCGAAACTAATTGAAATGAATGGAATTGCACAGGACACCAATAGCAATGAAAAGGAAACTGGGACTCAGATCAATGGAGTGGACCAGAAGAAAGCAAATAATGGCCAAACAGAAAAGAGTCAAGAAGCAAGAATTCAAAGAAATGAGGAGAGTCTTAGGAACCTCCAGGACATCTTTAAACGCTCCAACATCCGAATTATAGGGGTACCAGAAGGAGGAAAGGCACAGCCACCAGTGGAAAACTTATTTGAACAAATGATAAAGGAGAATTTCCCCAATCCGGCAAAGGAAATAGACTGCCAGGAAATCCAGGAAGCTCAGAGAGTACCAAAGAAGTTGGACCCAAGAAGGAACACACCAAGGCACATCATAATTATATTAGCCAAAATTAAAATGAAGGAGAGAATCCCAGAAGCAGCAAGAGCTAAGGGGACAGTCACCTACAAAGGAGTCCCCATCAGACTGTCAGCTGATTTGTCAAAAGAGACCTTACAGGCAAGAAGGGGCTGGAAAGAGGTATTCCAAGTCATGAAATCCAAAGACCTACAACCAAGATTGCTCTATCCAGCAAAACTTTCATTTAGAATGGAAGGACAGATAAAGTGCTTCTCAGATAAGATCAAATTCAAGGAATTCATCATCACCAAGCCCTTATTATATGAAATGTTAGAGAGACTTATCTAAGAAAAAGAAGTTAAAGAAACATGAACAGTGAAAGGACAACAAACTCACAGTGATTAACAACCACACCTAAAACAAAAGCAAACTAACAGGACAGCTAGATCAGGAGTGGAAACATAGAAATGAAGATCTCAAGGAGAGTTAGCAACAGAGGAATGGGAGGAGGAGAAGGGGGGAGAAGGTACAGAAAATAAGTAGCATAGACAGTAGGTAGAAAATAGATGGGGGGAGCAAGAATAGCATGGGAAATATAGAATCTAAAGGACTTGAGACACATGGTCATAAACTAAAGGGGGGGTAATGGTGGGGATGGGGGTAGGGTGGAGGGGAATGAAGGGGGGGAATAGAACAACTGTAACAGCATAATCAATAAAAAAATTTTAAAAAAAGTCAATATCCAGAAATCAAAGGCATTTTTGTATACCAACAATAAAGAAATCAAGGGAAAAAAATCCCATTCCATATAGCAAAAAAATAAAATAAAATACCTAGGAATAAACCCAACCAAGGACATAAAAGACCTGTATGCAGACAACTACACAACACTGAAGAAAGAAATCAAGGAAGACACAAACAAATGGAAACATATACCATGTTCACGGATTGGAAGAATTATCATCATCAAAATGTCCATACTACCCAAAGCAATTTACAGATTCAATGCAATACCTATTAAAGTACCAATGACATACTTCACAGACATAGAACAAACACTTCAAAAATTTATATGGAACCACAAATGACTCTCAATAACAGCCGCAATTTGAGAAAGAAGAACAAAGTAGGAGGAATCACAATACCTGATATCAAACTGTATTACAAGGCCACTGTAATCAAAACAGCCTGGTACTGGCATAAAAACAGGCACATAGACCAATGGAACAGAACAGAGAGCCCAGAAATAAACCCAACTCTCTACAGCCAATTAATATTCAACAAAGGGGGCAACAACATAAAATGGACTAATAATAGCCTCTTCAACAAATGGTGTTGAGAGAACTGGACAGCTACATGCAAAAAAATTAAACTCTAGCACCAACTTACAGCATACACCAAAATAAATTCAAGGTGGATAAAAGACTTAAATATAAGCTGTGACACCATTAAAGTCCTAGAGGAGAACATTGTCAAGAAAATCTCAGATATTTCACACAGCAACTTTTTTACTGATATGTATGTCCCCCAGAGCAAGGGACATAAAGAAAAAAATAAACAAATGGGATCTCATGAAAATTAAAAGATTTTGCACAGCTAAAGAAAACAGTATTAAAACAAAAAGAGATCCAACTGTATGGGAAAACATATTTGCCAATTATACCTCAGACAAGGGTTTAATCTCCAAAATATACAAAGAACATTTCTCCAAGGAGGACATACAGAAGATCCAGAGACACATGAAAAGATGCTTAATATCACCAGGTATCAGAGAAATGCAAATTAGAACCACAATGAGATACCACTTTACACCGGTCAAAATGGCCATCATAAACAAAGCAACAAATAAGTGTTGGAGTGGGTGTGGAGAAGAGGGGACCCTAATCCACTGTTGGTGGGACTGTAGACTGGTACAACCACTATGGAAAACAGTATGGAATTTTCTAAGAAAAAAAAAAATGGACCTGCCTTTTGACCCAGCAATTCCAGTGCTGGGATTATATCCTAAAAACCCTATAACACCAATGCAAAAGAACCTATGCACCCCAATGTTCATAGCAGTACAATTTACAATAGTGAAGAGCTGGAAGCAACCTAGGTGCCCATCAGTAAATGAATGAATCAAAAAATTATGATACATATACACAATGGAATTCTATGCAGCAGAAAGGAGGAGCTCCTACCCTTTGCAACAGCATGGATGGAACTGGAAAGCATTATGCTGAGTGAAATAGGCCAGGTGTTGAAAGACAAATACCATATGATGTCACCTTTAACAGGAAGCTAACAACAAAACAAACAAGCAAGCAAAATAAAAACAAAGACACTGAAATAGAGAACAGGGCGACAGTGACCAGAGGGGAGAGGGGAGGGAATTTCAGGGGATAAAGGGGAAGGATTTACAGGAACTAGTATAAAGGACACATGGACAACAACTAAAGGGGGTGAAAGTGGGAGGGAGGTGGGGAGCACTGGGGGGGTGGGCTGGGATGGGAGTAAAAGACAGAAAACTGTACTTGAACAATAATTAAATTTAAAAATTTTTTCAATAATTATAACATTCATGTACTGAATACCAGAGTAGTGACTGGAAAAGAAAAGTAAAAATGGAAGGGGAAGATAAGTATAAAATATAGGCAAATATCTGCAGACTATACTGAATTCTCTGAGGGCAGAATCTATTATTCATAATAGTTCTTAGAAGCCTTATAACTTATATTCAACATTTATTAATAAATATGCTAATAAATAATACATTCACAACATAAAAACAAAGTTTCTAACTTCTTTAATTTCTTGTAATAATAAAACACTTAGAAAAGGAAAAAATAGAAAAAGAAAATCCTTTTCTGTATGTGGTCAGTGTAACCTTTCCAGTAAATAGCTGACTCACAAGAAGACTTTAATGCATGATACTATATAATACTATAGTGCCTAGGTATTGGAGGTCAGCGCTTGCACAGAAAAATTTACATCCAATAAGCCCCCAGGAAAGCAGAGAGTGAATATGCCAAATACTTACCACTATCATTCTCCCATCAGAAGTAATAACAGCAACAGTTCCTAATAAATGAATCAAGGAAAGCATTTCTCAGGGAATGCAACCTGGACACTTAAGAGCTTAGTAAGAAGTGGTTTGAATTACTAGGGAAAAGGTGACAAAGGTACAACTATTAACACAACATTACATTCACAACATGAAAACTCTAAAGTTCCTAACTTCTTCAATTCCTGTGACAATTACACAATTAGAAAAGGAAAGAGTAAAAAAACAAAACCTCTTTTTTTGTATTTAATCAAGCGTAACCTGTCTAAAAACATCTGGTATGTTTGGTACAATTTGGGAATACTGCCACTGACTTTGAGCAAGACATTTCCCCCTTTCTTATATCTGCTTCCTCATCTCTAAAAAGTAGATCAGTGCTGAATTAATGGTGAATGATTTAAAGCGTGGGTAAGACAGTCTTCCAGGACTTAGGTTCTAAACTTCAAAAGAAGCGAAGCTATAATCAGTGTCACAAGGTAGAAATATGCTTTGTTTGCATCATTTAAAAGTATTTAGTATTTCATTTTGGCCCCAAATTTGTATGTGAAGAAAACGTAGTGTTGCTGTCCTCAGAATTTAAAAGGCTTAATACATACATAGACTTTAAGACTTCACAGATGCTTTTTAGTTCCTTGTGACGACCCATTACAACGGTAAGCTTTATTTCCATTCCATCAACAAGTTTTGACTTCAAGTGGTAAAGGGGTGGAAATGCAATTTGTGCACCATCCTTACAAGTTTTGCTATCCTCGAACAATGGGCAAAACCTAAGAATAAAACAAGTACAGGGATTTACCAGACCATCGTCGCTGCTAAAATGGCTATGTTCATTTTTATTCCCAAACTTCACCGCACAGGCCCTACGGAAGTAGACCAATAGTTGCCTTCTACAGACAAGGAAAAGTTCAGAAAAATCACACTTTAAAGGTTAAAATGAAAAGGCGTCCTGGGCCCATTGGAGTCGCCTTGGCCTCCTGCCCGGGTCGCAGGATTGGTGGGTCAGGACCCTTAACCCTCGAACCCAGGCCAAGAAGTGGCCGGAAATCCCAACCGCCCAGTCCCGACCCCGGTCCCTCCGGCACCAGCGTTCGCCAGTCGGAAGCGGGGCCTCGCCACGGCTCAGGCACTAGCCGGCCACCAGAGGATACGGTTGATGTAGGTCTCCAGAGCTGAAGTCATGGCGCTCCACCGACCACTCCGAGCAAAGCGACAGCGTACGCGCTGAAAGGAGCTAAAAAGAGATCGACCGCAGCACACAACGGTCCAATCCACAGACTGCCGTAAATATCGCGAGATTTCCGACATCCCGGCTTCCGCGAGTAAGTGATTGGCAGAAACCGCGTCAGCCAAACCCAGGAGGCCTAGCGGCTCAGTTTGGTGCGCGTGCGCAGTATTTTTCTGCCGATTGTTCGGTGCCTCAGTCTCGAAAAGCGTAGGGGACGAGAGCCTGCGGGAGACAAAGAAAAAGGTGAAACTCCTTGGAAGTGGAGTAGGAGGGGGAAAGCTGGGAAAGCGAGTTTTCTAGCAGAGTGAAAGGCAGTGCCTACAAGGTACTCGTGAGTGGCAAGTGTTAGTAGTGGGAAAGACAAGGAACGGAATAAGGTGTTTTCATCACAACCAGAGATGAGTGCTGTTCTGTGAAATATGGGTGCGGGAGAGTGGAATTCGTAGTTTGCACTACAGGATCCAAAATAAACATTTTAGGAATGGAATGACCTGGGACAAAAGAGCAGGTTCTGACTATTTGGTATACATCTCTGGAGACCACGTTAATAAAAAAAGCATGTTTGCATATTTGAAACCAGAAAAGCCCTTGTTCGTGCTTCCTGTCATCTATCAGACCCAATAAGCAGAGGCAAGAATTGAATCTTTATGTTATTCAGATAGCCAGCGATCTGAGAAGATGGCAGGTTTGTACCCTAAGAGACTCTCTTAAATTCCATTTTTAAATGGCCCTTTTTAAGGAGAACAAAGTGTAGGCAAGGGGTTTGGAATCAGAGAAAAGTTAATTGGATTAAACCACAGCATCCTTCCCTTGGATGGTTGGTGGTTTTTAACTGTGTTCTGGGCAGTGGTCAAGTCAAGGGAGGACAATGGCTCACATATCTTGAATTGCTTGCAAGTCCTTCTGAGGTACAAATGTGGAACTGCTTGTGGTCTTCTGGAGTCAGGGTGGGTCATACATTCAGTTCCTGGAACAATAGTTTTTACATGCATTGATTACTAAGCTTATTAGCTGTTGATTAAACTAAAATTTTCCAACTTTCAAGTCCCCCATTATATTATCCAGTTGCCCCTAAAAGTGCCCCACCTGGAAAAGGTGTGTGCACCTCCCTTAGAAAACAGCCTTTTATCACACCACAAGGTCTCTCTGACCTTAGGATTCAGTTAGTAAGTAAAAAGTCTGCTGCACCACCCTGGAAAGGACTGATTTAAGGGGCAGTCTTCTAATAAGCACCACGCTAGGTTCTAGTCCTAGCTCTGCTTACGAATTGTATGGGTGCCCTTAAACAAGTAGTATCAGTTTATCTTGGCCTCAGTTTTCTTAGAAGCTGCCACAGCTATAATTTGGGGTATTTCCAAGTGTTACTAGAAAACTTAACTCTTCCCCTTTTCTTTAACTGTGGGACCCTAACTTCAAAAGGGCCCTGGCAGTGTGGCTCAATTGGTTGGAGCGTCCTGCCTTACACCAAAGGGTTGTGGGTTCGGGTCTTTTCTCAGGGCACATGCCAAGGTTGTGGCTTGATCTCTAAGTTTTTTTTAAACTAAAAATAGTTTTAACTAAAACCTCTTTATACAAGCTTATTTTGAAATTCCAAGTTTGTGTTATAAGTTTATTAATTACAAAAATGTAATTACTGTCACATAGTATTTTGTTTATGTGCTTTAAATATATTTTCATTAAAACCTTGGAGCTACAGACTTAACACATAATTTTATAGTAAAGCCTGTACCTATTATCAAATCAATCAGTTGACTTTATTTTTCAATTTAAATATATATGTCGACATGCATTCTGTGAGAACTGTTGGAAAGTCAGTCTACCATGAGCTTTGAAGTTCCCTGTACCTCTGGGTATGCTTCAAATGCAAAGTCCTTCTTACTCTTTATTTGGGTCAATTGTATGTCCCTTGTAACTCAATTTCTAGGTAAACAGCTTTATAATATACATTTTTAATTCTCTCAAAATATTTTATTTTGCTTCAGTGACTTTCCATTGTCGATATGTGCATCTCTGTGTTTGAGGGTTTTTTTTCTGGAACCCCGCCTATCTGTGTGTGGCAGGCTGGAAATCCTGGGGAATTAGCACTTTTACAAAGCATTTGTCAGTGACTGACAAGGTAGTTTTATGAATACCTCAGCCTTTCTTAAACCAGGTAGGATAACACAGGTGGGATATCTCCAGTCATTCAACATAGTAGCTGACTTAATAGTGCACCTCTCAGTTATCTTCCTTTCCTTCTGACACTTCTCCACTTCCTTACTGGTTTTCCCCAAATAAACTACTTGCACTTGAATTCTTACCTCAGGGTCTATTTGGAGGAGACCCAAACTAAGATACAGATCATGAATACTTCTTCCTTTCTAAGGGATCTGTATCTTACTTGAGTTTGAGGGCATCTATAGCCTAACCCCAATCCTTATCACCAGATCATTTTTCACACAATGCAAAGGAGGATATGAGGCTTCCCTTCTCCACAGATCTGTGCAGGCCTCTCAATATCCCTAGGTAAGCAATTGCTGCTGCCACTAAAGTTGGTTTAAAATAGGTTTGCTTAAAAAATACCTGTTTATGGGTAGAACATAGCCAGGTTGTTGCAATAAAACTTCAGTTAGGCTCACTGATGTGGCAAGAAATGAAGCACAGAAATGACTCAGTTATCTGACAGTAGCACAGCAAGAATTTATTTAATGGTGTTAGGGTAAACTGCAGGGTGTCCCTCATCAAGTCTGAAATGGTATAAATTGCAGAATAAGCCCACAGTTTAGTACTCTGACCAGCTGACTTTTCTCCCTCTGAGAGGACGAGATCCCCCAACTTTGCATATGCCTCCTAGTTATTACAACCACTAGTTTATGTACTAATCTCATGTATACCCTTTGCCCTGCTTGCTTACTGGTTCAAAAGCAAGCCAACGTGGAAGCACCATTAAGTGAGTCTGAGTTGCTCTTCTGACCCCAAATACTGACTAGCCTGTGGTCTGGCCATAATAGATGCCACCGATAAACTATGCATCCCCTAAATATTGAGTGCTTTGGGTAAAAATTTGACAAAGTTGAGCTCACTTTTCTCCCCAATGCCACAGTGATCTAGCTGTGGCATTCAGAATCCTTGGTGATTTTAATGGTGAAGGTGAAGGTTTGAGCTACTCATGCCTCTTTACTGAAGTAACGACATGGGGTGGTGATCCTGCAAGGACCTAGAGCTTACAGAATAAGTCATTCATGTTGTCATTTCCAGTACTAGTGGCAGTCAAATTATTTAGCAAAAAGTTTTTCCAGTCTTCCTTAAAACATGTTGGGATGGGAATGACTTACTCTATCTCTTTGCAAGACTGTGCCTATAATATTGCCCTTCCGAGTCCCGAGATTTATTTATAGACCTTTATATTTAGAAGACTGTCTTGAGATGGAGTCTCCAGAAGCACTCCTTGAAGTAAAAGTTTACTTATATGTCAGTAATTTATGAGGAAATATTCCCACGAGAAATCAGGAATTTAAGGAAGCAGTGGGGGAAGGGGAGGAAATGAGGCATGCTGAATTTGCAGAGTAGCTCTTACCCAGGCCTGCATTGTGTGAGTTGATGCTGCACAGTTTTGTCCTTACCAGAGGCAAGGGATCTGGGCTTCTATAACCCCCACATTGTCAGTCCTTGAGAATGGCTGACTGGTATGAAAGAGGCAAACTTCCAGCTCTTTGTTAGTGAGGACAAAGCCCAGGTAGCCTAATGGTAGCAGTATTCTACTAAAGAGGAGCAGGTCCTGGCCTCAGGAAGCAAAATCACATGAAGCCAGGAGAGAGGTGCACAGAATCCATGAAGGTACTTTTAGAGTGTCTGGGTAAAGCTATATAGGATTCAGTTGATTCAATTTCTAGCCATTTTAAGTTTCGGGGATATATGAAGTAGGGAAATGTTAGAAGGGTCAGAAGATACTTCCATTTTTGTAAAAGATATTTAAAAGTGTGTTTTTCTCTACTTGTCAATAAGGTATACAGCTTCAAAAAACATTTACTTGTAATCAAGGCAGTTCTTTCAATATATGGGCAGGGGTAAGAAAAGGCTGGAGAGAATTATGCACTGTATAGAAGAAATTTTTGTGACATTAGCAAACCCTTGTATTGTCTGAAATGTTTGTTGGGACACTTTATTGTTGAGCTTTTTTTTTGTTATATATGCAAACTAAGTTTTCCTAGAAGTTGTTATAGCCTGAGGGCCAGAAGAAGTTTCAGACACACACACGCACACACCATATTTTGCCATGTATAATGTGCACTTTTTGCCCAAAACTTCAGGCAAAATAAAGATGCGGATTGTACATTGGAATTAGTACCAAGACATGGGTGTGCACTATACATGGCAAAATATGGTGTGTGTGTGTGTGTGTGTGTGTGTGTGTGTATAATCCTTACCTAAAGATGTTTTTAATGATTTTTAGAGAGAGAGGGAAACATTGATTTGTTGCCTCCTGTATACCCCCTGACTAGGAATCAAACCCTCAACCCCGGTATGTGTCCTGACTGGGAATCAAGCCTGCACCTTTTTGGTGTACAGGGTGACACTCCTACCAACTGATTCATCTGGCCAGGGTGAAAGTTATGTAATAATAAGTTGGACTTCTCTGGTTTGTGATGAATCTGCCTTATGCAGTATTTCCATCCCCCATTTAAAGTCTTCCTGGTCATTTTGAGGAATCTACCTTGGGTGTCTCAAAATAACTCACCAAGAGTCCTTTCATTTCTTCTACTCCAGATTTCATTATTTGTTATGTAGCCCAGAGAATTCTCTTTAGGGTGGCTCTTTCTACCAGTGTGATGACTCAGGCCTGTATCGACAATATAAATATCTCTGGGGGAGCGGGGAATGAGAGAGCAGAGGGTTATCTCTCAGAACTTCCAGAGCTTTAGGCTGTCAAGTTTGCCAAAATGGTCGTCTATTCTCAATACATTTTCCTAGCTAATGTTGTACTGTTTTCAGATCTTAAGTAAAGATTTCTTCTTGTCTCTTTATAAGAGCTTGTTATTAGGTTGAAGCCAGCTCTCAGAGATTTCTTGCAAAATCAACTCTTGCTTCTGTCTGTGTGTAGCTGGC